TATTTATCCCGCTCGTTGTCACCTACACGTTTCGTATGTACTGAGATTCTATTGATACGCGACCAAGCGTTCGAAAATCTGCAAGTTGTAACACACTGTGACGTCAGAGCAAAGGTGCAAATTTAATAAATTATAAAACACTGCGTCGTTAGAGCAAGGGTACCAAACTTTACGAATTATAAGATGCTGTGGCGTTATAACAAGGGTACCAAATTTAACAAATTATAAGACGCTGTGACATCATATGAATTATAGAGATCATACATATGTAGAAAGAACTATAAGTCTCTTGATATTTTTTGCAATAATAGCAGTTATTGCATTATACTTATAAAACATTCCAATGAATAAATGTATGCCACGATTCTTGATTATTTCTAATTATTTAAATCGGCAATATTCTCCACTCAAAAAAATGATCTCGCAATAATAGCTAAAATTTTCTAGGTGTAAAAAATTAACTAAAACAGATAAATGATTAGCAACTGTTGGGATATTGCATATGTAATTACTTAATCAGTTTAGATGACAGAAACAGAATATATATCTGTATTGTTTGTGAACTTTAAAAAGAAAGTTTCTCCAAAGCGCCTATCTATATAAGATCAATCACGTGTTAGATCATGCAATGAATAACATTTAGCAATGGTACCTAAATTTTTCAGAAGCTATTGCTAGAACATTACTGCTATAAATTCTATATGTGACAAACAATGTTTTCACAGATACGAAAAATAGTGATACATTCTTGTTGCGATATCTAGAAATCTAACTACATCAGCGAAATATTTTTTTGAGTGTCGTAATAAAAAATGTTGCTCACAGCATGAATTGAAAAACTGTAGTGTAAAATGATGATTAATATGTGTTTTAAAAATAATTTCGGATATTTTGTAATATCTTGCATGCATTTCGACAAATAAATATGCATGACGAAAATTGCGCTTATTGGAATAAAAACAAGAATTTAATATAACGCGATACGATTAAAGTATCTAAGATTAAATATACTTAAAAATATTCATAATTGTAAACATATTATAAATATATTTACTTTTGCGGTCAACTTTTCATTGAAAAATAGTCAAACAAGTTTAGATCACTTTAAATTTATAA